GGTGGGGGGGGTAGATGGGGGTTAGGGTGTGGAAGCCACGCCCCCTCCCGCCCCAGAACTCAGGGGGAAGTTTTGTGAGCGATCGCAGTGCTAACGCTCTGGAACGCACCGCTTTCGGAGTGAACAAGGCCTAACTGTTTGTCTGGAGTTCAACTAAGCTACAGAGTTTTTTTTTTTTTCTTCCTTTTTTGTATTAGATTAAGAAATGAAACAGATTAGAACTCATCGCGAAGGCAAGACGGGAACAAAAAGTCCATTTCAACACTTTTCCAATTATAAATTCCATCCTTAATAATTTCAGCCTTCAGAAAGGACGCATTTCCCTGCGGACTCTGCTTCCTTCCAAATTACTGCGTTACACTGCGGTTCGGAAGATCAAATACAAATGATTTCATCTTTTCTTATGTTATAATGAATCGATCTTCAGTCGGTCACCTGTGTTATCTCCGGAACTTTTATCTGATTTATGGATTTAATGAAGGTTTGTTATTGAAGTAAAAATTCTATCTGACTTTTAACCACTTGAGGGATTTTTGAGCATAGGCGATACGTCCTAAGAAGCTTCAACAAAGTATATAGGATGCACCTCTTATGTCTGACTTTTCTACCCCTGCCGCTATTTCCAGCAACTACTGGCTGTCAAATTGACAGCTGGGATTGGGCAGCCGCTCCGGTGTAAAATAGCATCAGATAGTCTGCAGGTGACTTTGAATAAATACAATGAATCAATATATTGCGTCATTGTATTCACTGTTTTATTCATATGTAGACCTAATCTGCAAAGGACAATACTTAAAGTGACACTAAACTCCGGAATTAAATCTTAATAACCCCTCCGAGTCCCCGAACTCTGAACAACAATGTATCTTATTTGTATGGGGGGGCGGAGCTTAGAGCGGTGACTACTGCAAGCTGTAGCTCCCTATATATTGAGCTTAGGGTGACGGGAGGACGCTAGTTTGTGTCCTCCCGTTACCCTAAGGAGAACTATGGGGAAAAGCCCTGACCCCATAGTTCTCCTTTTAAAGCCAAACCTCTTCTTAGTTTTGGATGAAATGAGGAAAGGTTAGAGTGTCTGAGGTCTTTAGTTCTGCCTATGCCCCCCTTTTTGGGAGGATTCCCCCTATTTTCTCTATCATGGTGACACAACCCTTCCCTTGTCATTGGGGGGGGGGGGTTCATAGATTTAGTATTTGTTCCCTCTAGTGGCTGATCTATAAACATCTACTTTTAAGACAAAAATATGGAATATGGAATTTTACACATGTCAAATTTTGCAGGAGTCAAATCATTTGCAGGAGCCCCAGTGGGCTACTTTGGGCGGCATTGCCCAACACAGTCCTAATGTAAAGACAAGGCAAACAGCCTCACCTCGTATAGGACCTAGTTACACCGCAGCCATACGTTGGTGTGCATTGAGATAAAATGGTGCAGGCAATATCTGATCCCAGCGCAGAGCCCTACGATGTGCTGCAGCTCATAGAATTAACAATGAGCACTGTCAATGCGTTGCAGTGCATGTTCACATCGCAGGCTAGTGCACACACGTTATGTGCTATGCATTATACGCTGCGTGCTGTGAACAAACCCTCGTTTCATTTTGGAGAAATTAATTGGAGCAAATTGGTAAAGCAATTGGTGGAGCAAAATTAGCCTTATTGGAATGAGGGTGCCTTCGGTGCTATGGGCTTTAAAAGGCTCCTGAGCGGTTTTATGTGTTTTATTTTCCTTTTGTGTATTTTGTTGACATTTATCGTTCACCCCCACCTTTGTTATGAAGATGAGTAGAAGGGGAGGTGTTGTATAGTCCTTAGAAGTTCAATAAAATGGCCAAAAATGGCCCATAGTCTCCAGCTCACCAGCACACTCCTTGTAAGACTATACCTGGCCATGCTGGTGCTTCTGCGCATGCGCGTACGCCTGTCTTCCACCTTTGCAAGAAACAGGCACTATTGTGCATGCACGCTCAACGGACGTGTGTGCGGAGACGTGGTAACGTGTCACGCAGGAAGTGATGCAGCTTCCCTGGATTGATGGCCCTATTAAACTTGCCAGTCCTATGGATCATTGCTGGATGGTCTTTCAGCTCCTGTGTGTGTTCCTGGGTCTCTGCCTGTTCCAGTGTTCTGCTGCTTGACCCGGATCTCCTTGACTACGCCTGACTCCTGCCGCCCCTGACCTCTGCTTGCTCCTCAACTACTCTTCTGCCTGCCGCCCTTGTACTTCGCTGCCCGATCGGTGTTGCCCCTGGCCTGCCTGACTTCGTTCTGCTCCAGCCGTATTCCTGGTGGTCCTTCCAGCTGCATCTACACCTGCTTCCTTGCAGACCAGCTTCGGACTCACCCAGGCACAGTGCCCTGCACCCTCTGGCACCGGTGCTGCTCTCTGTCAACTCACTCCCTGTCACCACTCTCAATGGTGCGGGACAAGAGTTGCAAAGGAGGCCTCCTCAACTACTCGGTTCTCTACCAGGTACGTGATACTCCTCACGAGCACAAACCTGATCCATTTAAGTGCGGTACTTCAGATCGCCCATAACACGGAGCTTCTCATGGGAGCACATCCAGTCCACATCCCTAAATTTAAGGAGGACCCGACCTAAATGAATGAACCTGAACCCTTCCCTTTAAAATTGAGTCTGGGTCCTGGAAGGCTTTGCTCAAGATGTGGCTCATATGGACTGAGATCTTCAGCTGACAATCATCATTGCTGATCACAATGACCCCTGAGATACTTCACATGGCCAACTTCTTCCAAAAGTTGTAGAAGAAGCCTAAACCAATTCCTATCACCATTCCTGCCCTAGTATAACAATTCTGCTCCTGCAGTGTTGTCACCCCTAGGTCAGGGAATGTGTAACGACTAAAAAAGGAGAATGTGTCAGAGGTTCTGTAAACCTAATATTTCCTTAAAACTGATCCTGGCTCATAAGGACTTTCCTCACATCAGTGGTGATCACCACGAGCCCTGAGGTTCTTCAAGTGGCCATCTTCGTCCAAAAGTTATAGAAGAGGCCTAAACCAATTCCTACCACGATTCCTGCCCTAGTATAACAATTCTGCTCTTCCAGTGTTGTCACCCTAGGTCAGGTAGTGTGTCAGGACTTAAAAACAGAGAGTGTGTAAGAGGTTCTGTAGTCCTAATACAATTTCTGTCCAAGGAAGGATGCTGCTCCTCCATAAATTCAATGGTAGAGTGCACGTTGTCACCCTAGGTCAGGGAGTGTGTAAGGACTAAACAAGCAGAGTGGGGTTCTGTAGTCCTAATACAATTTCTGTGCAAGGAAAGATGCTGCTCCTCCATAAATTCAGTGGTAGAGTGCGCGTTGTCACCCTAGGTCAGGGAGTGTGTAAGGACTAAACAAGGAGAGTGGGGTTCTGTAGTCCTAATACAATTTCTGTGCAAGGGAAGATGCTGCTCCTCCATAAATTCAGTGGCAGAGTGCGCGTTGTCACCCTAGGACCGAAAGCGTGTTACCGGCAGGTTACCCTCCCCCCCAATGCAGCTGCCACATGTAAAGACTGATAAGGCTGCAGCACATTACAATGTTCTTCTGGAGGTTCGGAGACGCTTTAATGCTGAATGGACAGAAGTCTAATCACGGCGCAATTCTCCTTTATCTGCTAATAATACAGAGCAAGGTTCACATTACCCGGAGCAAATAGGCAAAGCTCTATTACCAGGAGACGTGAAGAGCACTTCAACTAATGACAGATATTTCCCGCTAAATGGCCTATTCTTCCACCAAAATCTATTTCCGCGGCTCGGCGGCCCCGACTCGTGACATGTTTGCCCACCGCCGGCAAGTTAAGTGATGGTTCTATTGCCTAATTGCGGTATAGATCTCCTCAGGTTTTTTATGGTTGGTGAGAAGACGCGGAATTAGCGGAGTAATGGGGGCAAGGCGGAGAGTCCGGCTGATTGCACATTTCTGGATTGCTCAGCGTTCCATTCTCGGATCCGTTAATTAATAAATATCCCGATAGGAGCAAGTCAATGGGAAGATTCATCATCGGTAACTCCTCGTTATGTTTGTAGGGGATGATGTTCTTCTAAAAAAAAAATGCGGCAACTACTACTTATCCGATTTCATCAGCAGACGGGCCCCCACCATATCAGTGCATTGTTCTCCTGAATAACGTGGGTTGGTGGACTCTGCTCCTTCCTCTATAACTCTCCTCTCCTGAAATACTCTGCTCTGCTGGAGGACTCTGCTCCTTCCTCTAACTCTCCTCTCCTGAAATACTCTGCTCTGCTGGAGGACTCTGCTCCTTCCTCTAACTCTCCTCTCCTGAAATACTCTGCTCTGCTGGAGGACTCTGCTCCTTCCTCTAACTCTCCTCTCCTGAAATACTCTGCTCTGCTGGAGGACTCTGCTCCTTCCTCTAACTCTCCTCTCCTGAAATACTCTGCTCTGCTGGAGGACTCTGCTCCTTCCTCTAACTCTCCTCTCCTGAAATACTCTGCTCTGCTGGAGGACTCTGCTCCTTCCTCTAACTCTCCTCTCCTGAAATACTCTGCTCTGCTGGAGGACTCTGCTCCTTCCTCTAACTCTCCTCTCCTGAAATACTCTGCTCTGCTGGAGGACTCTGCTCCTTCCTCTAACTCTCCTCTCCTGAAATACTCTGCTCTGCTGGAGGACTCTGCTCCTTCCTCTAACTCTCCTCTCCTGAAATACTCTGCTCTGCTGGAGGACTCTGCTCCTTCCTCTAACTCTCCTCTCCTGAAATACTCTGCTCTGCTGGAGGACTCTGCTCCTTCCTCTAACTCTCCTCTCCTGAAATACTCTGCTCTGCTGGAGGACTCTGCTCCTTCCTCTAACTCTCCTCTCCTGAAATACTCTGCTCTGCTGGAGGACTCTGCTCCTTCCTCTAACTCTCCTCTCCTGAAATACTCTGCTCTGCTGGAGGACTCTGCTCCTTCCTCTAACTCTCCTCTCCTGAAATACTCTGCTCTGCTGGAGGACTCTGCTCCTTCCTCTAACTCTCCTCTCCTGAAATACTCTGCTCTGCTGGAGGACTCTGCTCCTTCCTCTAACTCTCCTCTCCTGAAATACTCTGCTCTGCTGGAGGACTCTGCTCCTTCCTCTAACTCTCCTCTCCTGAAATACTCTGCTCTGCTGGAGGACTCTGCTCCTTCCTCTAACTCTCCTCTCCTGAAATACTCTGCTCTGCTGGAGGACTCTGCTCCTTCCTCTAACTCTCCTCTCCTGAAATACTCTGCTCTGCTGGAGGACTCTGCTCCTTCCTCTAACTCTCCTCTCCTGAAATACTCTGCTCTGCTGGAGGACTCTGCTCCTTCCTCTAACTCTCCTCTCCTGAAATACTCTGCTCTGCTGGAGGACTCTGCTCCTTCCTCTAACTCTCCTCTCCTGAAATACTCTGCTCTGCTGGAGGACTCTGCTCCTTCCTCTAACTCTCCTCTCCTGAAATACTCTGCTCTGCTGGAGGACTCTGCTCCTTCCTCTAACTCTCCTCTCCTGAAATACTCTGCTCTGCTGGAGGACTCTGCTCCTTCCTCTAACTCTCCTCTCCTGAAATACTCTGCTCTGCTGGAGGACTCTGCTCCTTCCTCTAACTCTCCTCTCCTGAAATACTCTGCTCTGCTGGAGGACTCTGCTCCTTCCTCTAACTCTCCTCTCCTGAAATACTCTGCTCTGCTGGAGGACTCTGCTCCTTCCTCTAACTCTCCTCTCCTGAAATACTCTGCTCTGCTGGAGGACTCTGCTCCTTCCTCTAACTCTCCTCTCCTGAAATACTCTGCTCTGCTGGAGGACTCTGCTCCTTCCTCTAACTCTCCTCTCCTGAAATACTCTGCTCTGCTGGAGGACTCTGCTCCTTCCTCTAACTCTCCTCTCCTGAAATACTCTGCTCTGCTGGAGGACTCTGCTCCTTCCTCTAACTCTCCTCTCCTGAAATACTCTGCTCTGCTGGAGGACTCTGCTCCTTCCTCTAACTCTCCTCTCCTGAAATACTCTGCTCTGCTGGAGGACTCTGCTCCTTCCTCTAACTCTCCTCTCCTGAAATACTCTGCTCTGCTGGAGGACTCTGCTCCTTCCTCTAACTCTCCTCTCCTGAAATACTCTGCTCTGCTGGAGGACTCTGCTCCTTCCTCTAACTCTCCTCTCCTGAAATACTCTGCTCTGCTGGAGGACTCTGCTCCTTCCTCTAACTCTCCTCTCCTGAAATACTCTGCTCTGCTGGAGGACTCTGCTCCTTCCTCTAACTCTCCTCTCCTGAAATACTCTGCTCTGCTGGAGGACTCTGCTCCTTCCTCTAACTCTCCTCTCCTGAAATACTCTGCTCTGCTGGAGGACTCTGCTCCTTCCTCTAACTCTCCTCTCCTGAAATACTCTGCTCTGCTGGAGGACTCTGCTCCTTCCTCTAACTCTCCTCTCCTGAAATACTCTGCTCTGCTGGAGGACTCTGCTCCTTCCTCTAACTCTCCTCTCCTGAAATACTCTGCTCTGCTGGAGGACTCTGCTCCTTCCTCTATAACTCTCCTCTCCTGATATACTCTGCACTGCTGGAGGACTCTGCTCCCTGCTATCCATACTACATAAAATAAATGTCATTTAGATTAATACAGAAGTGTAGAATTCCTCACCTGATCTACACGCCAGGTCCACATCTTTATCAAATTCAGACTGTGGGGGACAAAAACACAAAAGAGTTACAATTGCTTCGTCGTTTAAACAGATGTTACAGCAGAGAAGTTAGTCAGATGAGGTCACAATTGCCCTGTGCTGCTTCTGGGGGGTCAGTCAAGCTGATCAGGTGTTGTGACATAACAGAAATGAATATATCAAAACTCTAGTGAGATCTGTTCTCTCTTCAAAGAAAATCAAAGATAAAGAAAAAGAATGACGACTTGTCTTATTAATGATGAAATGACAATACCGTGTTTCCCCGAAAATAAGACACTGTCTTATATTTTTTTTGGGCTAAAAAAAAACACGCTAGGTCTTATTTTCGCGGTAGGTCTTATTTTCGGGGTAGGTCTTATTTTCGGGGAAGGTCTTATTTTCGGGGGTAGGTCTTATTTTCGGGGGTAGGTCTTATTTTCGGGGGTAGATCTTATTTTCGGGGTAGGTCTTATTTTCGGGGCTAGGTCTTATTTTTTTTTAATGTATAACAACCCAAAGTTAATGCAAATCCAAATTAAATAATCCAAAATGGCAAAGTTAAGAATATGGTGATCAGGGCGATCAGGGGCGCCGTACTTTTCCCAGAGCAATTTGGTAACCAATCGCTGGCCAGGATGAGCGAAGCGCGCTTTCACTATGGATTCCTCACAGGCACGGAGCGCATTTGGTATGACTCCGCCTGTGACAGGAGGCGGGGCTATAGAGGAGGCATCGGCTTATGCGGCTCTGCTCCCTCCGCTGCCGCCTCGCTTCCTCTAGCGCCGGCTTCCTTGGCACCGTTGATTCTCTCCCGCGGCTCTTCAAGTTCCCCCTTATGCCGCCACCGGCCCTGGGAACGGTCACAACTAGGTCTTAATTTCGGGGTAGGTCTTATTTTCGGGGGAAACACTGTAACTCTATAGGCTTGGTGATGTCAATTTGGTATCACTCCGCCTGTGACAGGAGGCGGCACTATAGAGGAGGCGTCGGCTTATGCGACTCTGCTCCCTCCGGTGCCGCCTCACTTCCTCTAGCGCTGGCTTTCGTTGGCACCGCTGATTCTCTCCCGCGGCTCTTCAAGTTCCCCCTTATGCCACCGCCGGCCCTGGGAATGGTCACAACTAGGTCTTATTTTCGGGGTAGGTCTTATATTTTAGCAATTCCCAAAAATGGTACTAGGTCTTATTTTCGGGGGAAACAGGGTATTAGGGGCTTATAGGCTAATATTCGGTTCTTTATATAATAATTACTAGAATGACTTTGCAGAAAAATGTTGTTAGAACCGACGGATGTTTTTGGGATTCTTCCTGTGATCGGTGAATGCAGTTGGTCTCCATGATCTACAGTCAGGTATTGGGGAGTATGAAGGTCAGTCAGGCTGATTTATCCAACACACACCAGACCAATCAGGAATCCCGATTCCTGGAAACCTGCACAGAGGGATTCCTTCAATCTATAGGTGCGGTCACATTTATTTGGGGGTAGACACGTGTTATTCGTTTAATTTCCGAATAAAAATTCGGACTAATTTTCCGTCATTCGCACACATCCGAATTTGCCGAATCCCAATGCGTCCGAAATCCGAATGACCATTTCCAAATTGAATGGGACATGTGACTTTTCTGGCCAATCAGATGTGTTTTTCGGTTTAATGCATCCGAATGGGTCTGAACACAAATTTTTGTTACGGCAACATGGGAGCCACATACAGTATACAGGTGAAACTGGAATAATGAGAATATCGTGCAAAGTTCATTTATTTCACTCATGCAACTTAAAAGGTGAAACTAATATATGAGACTCATTACATGCAAAGCAAGATAGTTCAAGCCGTGATTTGTCATCATTGTGATGATTATGGTTACAGCTCATGAAAACCCCAAGAACCCCAAATTCACAACCTCAAAAAAGTAGATTATTACATGCAATCAATAAAACAAGGATTGTACATAGAACAATATCGGACCTCTGAAAAGTACAAGCATGCATATGTACTCAGTACTTGGTTTGGGCCCCTTTTGCAGCACTTACTGCAATTACTTTTGCACGATATTCTAATTATTCGAGTTTCACCTGTATACATATAATACTAAAGCTGAGGACTCCAAGACCCGAATGGCATTCGGGATCCAAATTTCCGTATAGCATTGGGGAGCTCCTGAATGCCCTTCGGGTCTGGGAGCCTCAGCTTTAGTAATATATGTATGTGGCTCCCAGACCCGAATGGCATTCGGGATCCGAATTTCTGAATTGCTTCCGGGAGCTCCTGAATGCCATTCGGGTCTGGGAGCCATATACATATATTACTAAAGCTGAGGCTCCCAGACCCGAAGGGCATTCAGGAGCTCCCCAATGCTATACGGAAATTCGGATCCCGAATGCCATTCGGGTCTAGGAGGTTCAGCTGTAGTATTAATATCTGTAGATGGTTTTCTGTGATATTCGCGTAAATTTGTAAACTCATCTGAAACTAATGAAATTCGTATTTCGCCCAAATATGAAACCCGAACCGAATTGAAGTACAGATCCAAATCCTGAAATAGCAAAATATTCAAACCGAATTCTTCCACGGGTTACATGTCTATGCGGGGGCTGTTACTCTACCAGATCTTCATGACAGTGCTACAAGCAGTGGCGTCACAATTGGGGGTGCGGCCCGCACACAGGTGCCACCATTGGAGGGGTGCCACCAAAATGACTGACGGTCATTTTGGTGTCACTCCCTCTGAAAAGTCGGGCGCTCGGTCATGGACCGAGACCCCAACAGTGTCTGGAGAGAGATGGGGACCTGGCGGCATACCTCATCCCACCGGGTGAACGTCCCCTCTCCTCTCTCTGCTGGCGTCCACCACCAAGATGGCCGTCCACCACCAAAAAGATGACGTCACGACAGGGTGCCACTCGGTCTCCGCTCCGGGTGACACCTGGCCTCGGGATGCCCCTGACTACAGGACTCATCGTATCAATAACATTCATATGGAGTACATTGCATCATACCGCTGCTTTCTTGTCTTTCAGCCCCACCATGGCCGTGCAGATGTACGGGTTATTGGCTTCCTCCAGCTAGAAGGAAAAAAGAAGACAAAATTCCCATCAAATAATAGTGATGGACACAGGTAAGGATGGCAGAGCGCTCTACTTACAAAGCCAAAACAGCAGCAAGGATCTGATTGGCTCTCACGGGCGCCTCAATTCCCCTTTTAACCTGTTTTTACATAAATATCATATTGTGTCTAATTTCACTTCACAGGGTTGATACATTCAAGGAAATCTGACTTCTTCTTCCGAAATGACTAGTTCCTTGGCTGTCGCCCTAATCCCAGGGCCGGATTTACTCTCTCTGCTGCCCCAAAGCCAGGTTCCTCAACGCGCCCCCCTACCTGCCAACCCCCCCCCAATGGAGAATGGCA